GTTTTTTTGTTCATTTGGTGAAGAAAATATTGTATAACATTTGTGAAAATCAGTTTGGGATGTCGTCATTTGGTTGCACAGTAGCCAATAGATTGTCAAAAACGACTGCTTTCAACGAATCATTTTATCTATTATGAACGTTTTAATACTATGTTAGTGAATATTCAACGTGTCTTAGTAAAGCTCATTTTTTCATACTTTTATGCTCTACCTCTTGTTATAGTTTCTTGTCATAGTGAAGTATATAGTTTCAAATCAGAAAAGGAAGAGAATCTTAATCCAAACAGTTCCGAGTCTTATTAGAATTTTGGAAACCTTGGTTTACTGATTTCAATCGCTTTAAAACTAAAAAATAAACATTATCACTCGGCTCAGTGTGACTGATTATCCCTATGTGGAACCGCTTTCTTTGCAGTTCTTGGAGGCCATTTAGCTGATTTCGGGGTTCTGGAAAGAATGCTTGCACAGATCGAAAAAGAGCAATTTTCTCTCTCGAATGGTTAGATTAGAAATCTAAATATAATCGGAAACGTTTTCAAAATACCATTTACAAAATATCGTATATTTCATTGATGAGGTTGGTGATAATAGGTCAAAGCATTTACTAACTTTGTTCTTATGAAAAAACTTTGAACTATATAGTCTCTATCACTAAAAACAAGATAATCAGCCTGTTTGATTGAAAAATGACGACGGTATTCAAAATTTTCTCTGAGAAGTGCTTCTCAACTAGTTTCATTTTCACTATGCAGCTCCAAGTATATTCATGGAACCTATTAACTCAAATAACCAGCTTTGCAAAATAGTGAAATGTTGTGTTAAAAACGACAATACATTTTCATGTGTCGTGTTTCTCTGTTTCAACAGAATAAACGCTGGGCACGTTTATCGTTTTATTTTGCAGTGACTAGTATATGATGTTTGTCATTCTAGAGGTGTCAAAATTGTCATTCCTATAATTCTTGATCGTTTCAGTTCAAAAATCTAAAATTTTCCTCCGGGCTACAACTTCTTTTCACGGATTATCCACAGAACACGAAAGAGTAGAGAGTATCATTTTCGGAATGGTGATCTGCATATAAATTGTTCGATTGGTTCATTGAACACCTTTCAATTACTTACCGAAGTGCTGCTCCACTGAAATTAGTAGTGGCCATTGTCAAACTATCGAGTAAACTCGGTGGCATATGCCAAGACTTTATTCCACTTAAAATACTCTTTCGAGCATGAGATGAAGGTCGTCCGACGAAGAATTTGCCAGACATACGTCGTAGAAATGCATCATCCATCATGTGTAAACGATTAGTAGCACAGAATATCATTAAATTTGGTACATCTTTAATGCCATCAATTACTGATAATAGAACGCTAAGTTTGGCCACATTTCCATCGCTCGTGTCATCTTTACGTTTGGGTGCAAGTGAATCGATTTCATCGATCGATACACAACACATAAGATATGGTATTCGATGGCAACGCATACAAATATCGGAAATAATGCGTTCTGACTCACCGACCAACGGTCGATTGAGCTCACCAGCAGCTAGTGGAGGTGCAACCATGTAAATGCCCATCCTTATTGATAGTTTGCTCATGATATCCGATTTACCAGTACCTCAAAAAGAAAACCAAATTCATCAATTGTCGTTTTAGACAGTCATATTCTCTTACTATGAATGTTCGCTTTTTTTTCTTCGACATATTTTTCTCAAGTTGCAATGAAATGCACATTTATACTTTGCTCATTTTCCCGAAAAGTTATTGAGAAATCGTTCTTTGCTGTCAAATTCTACAGAATGCTTCTCGACAATTTGTTAGTTTTGAATTGAAACTTCATTTTAGTCATGTGCCTAAACTTCAGATGTAAGCCACTCGACTGAGTCGGCACCGCTATTAGATGCAAAAGTATAGAATTTAAATTTAAAGTTCTTTCATTCTTAAGCTTAATTTTCGTAGAAGGCTTTATCGAATTTCTTGTTTGTTGTTGTCTCAGCTGCTTATTTTTTTATTTCTCACTATTTTTTGGAGTTTTTCAATTCTCTTGGTGTCCGAAACTTCCAGCCGTTGCTGCGGGTCTTTCGATTGGTTTATATCTCTAGCATAAGCGATTCAAGTGCAATTATCAATGGGGATTTTTCCCGTAGAAACCTACCTGGAGGTCCATACATCATGAATCCTCGATTCGGCTTGATCAGATCTCGATCTGATTTTGTATCACTATTGAGTTTTTCGTTTCGAAAACTTTGATCGAGACTACTTATGAGATCTTGAATCGCTTCGATTTGATTGCGTAATTTTTCTCGTATGGGTTCGAGTTCTTCCATAGCTTGTCGATGTTGTTCAATCAATTCTATCGTAGAAAATGTCTCGTACACATTCTGTCTTGCCTTAGATTTCGCGAGCGGTGGAGTCTCGATGGGGTAACCGGTCTGCTCATCAGTATTTCTGGAACTGGTCGGTGCCATTCTCACAACCATTTGTGTGATTCGTTTAAATATTCTTCCACCATTGGAGTTCTTGCGGCTGCCATTGTTTCTTGCCTGATCTGATTTTTGTAGCGTAGACTGATGAGTACGCCTTAAATTTCGAATTGCATCATCGTGTCTATAGTATTCGTCTTCTTTTTCATTCAACTCAATAGCTAAATCTAGTTTTCTTGTCACTAAATTATTTCTTTCTGTTTTCGTACACAGAATCCGTATCTCAATTATTGGCGTACATTCATCAGATCAAATTGTATTTTCATTACATATTGTCCAGACAATTTTCGGAAGTTAAAGTTCGATCTCCACCTAAATTAAATCCTGAATGCGTTCAATTATCATTCGATGAGAGGCGCCGCGGAGGTTTTGCTGACGATGGCCTTTTTGGTCGAATGA